AGAACTAAAGAAGAAGGCCATGATGAGTAGAAGCTGACTGTTGCAGTTGAAGAAAAAAAAGACGGCGAATTAGAAGGAAGCAACTTGGCAAATTGATAAGTTGCCCAAATAAACAACTCTCCCCTCTCTGCTGCAAGTTGTTGTTTTGCTGAGAAGAAGAAGGGCAGAAGAATCAAAAAACCAAGCCACTCCAAATTTCTATAAATAGGACATCCAGTAGCAGTTAGAAAATAACATATTGGGAAGTTAGAATAGATCCAAAAATAGAGTAGTTTAGTTAGTTAGCTAGGACAGAAACAGAGGGTAGCAGAAGAAAGAGTGCAGATTGTCACTCGGGCAAGTGACGAAGTTCACTTCCCAAAGTGAGCAGATAGAATATGCTCTGCTACAATCTTTACCTTATTCTGTCTTCTATCTTTTGTACTGAATGATGCTGAATCTTTTGTCTTTTGTTGCCCTCATGTTTAGATCAATAAACATGAGTGGCTAAAATTATTCCAGGGTTTTAATCCCAACTATCTATATGTGAATGTTTGATTCAAAGTTTTATTTTTGTGAAGCATTGTATCTAGTTTAAGTGTTTTAATTAACCTTTTAGTTAAACTGGCCACTTAGCTAATTGTGCATGCATAATTATGGACTCTTGAGAGGGTGAACATAATTTTAGAACTGCTTGAACTAGTATATGACAACGGGGATAACAACCCTTGGTTTAAGTCACCAATGAGAGTTAGTTGATTGACATCGGTGATCACTAAGGCCTAGGAAATCAATGACTTGGGGTAATGAATAATTATCACAGAGAGGTAATTTGGTTATATTGGGACTCTTTACTGGTATCGAAGGTGAGGGTAGAGAATACATGTACCTGATTCTGATAGGAGGGAGGGTGATCCTAGCTCTTTTACAAAAGAACTAGGGTGCAAAAGAATCAACTTCTCGAAACTGACAGAAAATTTGCAGAGGTAGAGAAGGGGACCGTAATTGACGAGTTGGATCAATTGAGAAGGAGGAGAAAGGATTTTAGGGGTTTAATTGAGGGAGCAAAACATGAATTCAAACACCTTCAATAAAACGCATGAGTAAAAACTCGAAACGCATACAAAATTGACAAAACAACATCGTTTTAAAACGAAGTCGTTTTGATGTTCAAAGTTTTAATTTTTTAAAAGGGCAAAACTCAGCATTAGTCCCTAAAGTTTAGGGGTAGCTCAGGTGAGTCATCAAAAATTTTTCTTCAACGGTTTTAGTCATCATTTTTACTTTTATTCAACACTATGGTCCATTTGACGGGAGAATACATTAACTTAACGGTGATCGACCAAAATCCGTTAATTGTTCAATATTTTATGAATTTTTTTACTGATGTGGGTCCCATGATTTTTTACTTGTTTTTAACTGTTAAAAAAAAGAGAAACCCAAAATAAATAAGTCAAAGAAAAAAAAACCTTCCCTTTTATCTCCCCCCCCCCCACCCTACCGCCGGCACCACCACCACCACCTAGTTATTCATCCTCCCCTCCCACCTTCTCCATTTCTCCCCTTTTAATTCATCTCCCATTATCCACACACTATTTCCATCCGATTTGCAAAATCCTCTTGTTTCATGATTTCAAGCAGGAACGCCTCTAAGAATCCAGTATAAAGCCATAGTTCTTTTCACAAATTGATTTCCTTCTTTGGTTACAAATTTATTGTTTTCAATTTGAATTCTTCACATCTTAATATCAGAGTAGGGAACGGAATAATAATTCATTAATTTGGGTTCTCTTTCTTCTTCATGGAATACTAGGGGGAAAAAAGAAAGATGGAGGCAACTGGTGAAATGATTGAGGAATCATTTAGTTCGGATTCGTCATGATTCTGATGTGTATAAATTAATGGGTTTTTTTTCTTGAAATTCAATTTCTTTTGATTGGATTTTGTACCTTTGGAATCGTTCAAAAAGATGTGAAGAATTTGGGTGCCGTCGGTGGTGGTTTGGGCTTTGGACGAAAAACTCAAAAAAATAAATAAATAAATAAAAATATTAGTGGGTCCCATTATTGATAATTGAATAGTTGACGGATTTTCTAATTCACCGTTAAAGTTAATGAAATTTCTGTCAAATACACATCGCTGTTGAATAAACTTAAACTTGGGGGCTAAAATTGTCGAAGAAAACTTTATGATGACTGACCTGAGTTACCCCCCAAACTTTGGGGACCAATACTGAGTTTTGCCCTTTTTAATTTTGGAAAATATATAACCCTCATTAAAATCACTAATGACATCGGGAGGCTTTTAACCAATCAAAAGATTGCTTCATCATTAGAATATAATTGGAACCGGTTCTTTTATAAGAATAGGGACTAGTCACTTCTTTGTCGCGCGTTGTGCGACCAGTTTGTATCTGTAGCGTATTATAGATAAAATTTAGCATTGGTTTTTTTATAACAGAGTATAATTTGTACTTCAATTTTCAAATAATAAATAACAAAAATTGATAATTTTATTAATGTGTGAAAACGAAATTTGATAAATATGCATTGGACATTCTAACTTAATCTATCCCAAAATATTATGATGTGCACAATCATGGTTAATTGTACACACTCTCGCTTCTATTTCCCCCTCTCTTTTCCCTCTCGAAATAAGGGTTTTTCGGGGTAAATCACTCTTCTTTTTTTTTTTGTCTTTTTTTTCTTTGTCTTCTTTGGAAATTGAAGGTTAATAATATGTAGTACTTACTCCGTCTCACAAAAATAATCCAGTTCAATGAAAAAATTCGTCCCAAAAAAAAGTCCAGTTTCACAAAAATAAAAATTAATTGAATTGAAATGACTTAAATATCCAAAAGAGTAGTGGTAAGGAAAACAAGGTCCACTTCCTTTGGTTTTCATTTTTTTAGTTTTCTCTTATTTTTTCAAATGATTATATATTTTAATACATGAATAATTAAAAAATATGTTATATATCAAATTAATCTACGTAACGAGATCTTTCCATCACGATCCATTGTCAATATTTTTTGAGATAAAAATTTTGATCAAATTGAAGTTGTAAAATAAATACATATGTAGTTAACTTTTATAGAAATAACTAGAAAGGGTATTAGTGGAAGTTAGGGGCATAAAATGACTTGTATATTTGGTGTGTTGACCAAATTAAAAAAGTTGTACATTTCAAATTGGGCTATTTTCTGGGACGAAGGAAGTATAATTTAGAATTTAATTTTTTTTCCGAAGATTATGAACGAGCTGTATTTAATATCAAATTTAATCCATTATTAGCCCCAAGAATTCTTCTTCTTGATTTGAGTTTTTATGAAAAATCACCTCCAAGGTCATGGTTATTATAAATTTTGAAAAGAATTAAATACAAAACTCCAAAAATAATAAAAAGACGCCATCTATATTCACTCGCAACTAAAAAGAAAAAACGTTGCACTTTGGTTCTAAATAGTGAACTTTTATTTTTTTCGATTCTCCGTTTGTTTTTCGAGGAAAATGGTGGTGGTCAGCGGTAAATCAAAAAAATTAGGGGTATAATCGGTAAATCAAAAAAATAAACCACACTTCCCACGCACGTGGGAGTCACGTGGTCGCTGCCTAAAATTAGAAGCGGCAAATTCAAAATTCATAAAAAGTTGAATTTGCCGCCTTGAGCCGCCGCCTAGGTAGGCGTAAACCGACAATATCCGTGGGGGGCGCCACCATGTACCACCACCGAACCACTGGTCCGCTACCAATCAGGCACCGGACCACCACTGGGCCACTGCCGCCGGTTTATATTCCGGTCATTTTCCGGCATATTCGCTGGCCGATAGTCGGAACTTACTGTTCCGATCACGGAGATGACTCAATCCCGGCGACAGCCAATTCTTGGCTTGTTATATTATTATAAAATAAAAATAATGGGCGGAATATAATATAACGGGACAAATTTTTTATTTAGCCCAACCCAATTAAAATTAATATAAAAAATTATCAAGGCCCAACCTAATCCCAATGCCGTATATACATTTTGAAACATAATAAAAATAAAAAAGTCACTTTGGGGAGAGAGAAAACATAACTGGGGAGAAAACGGGGAGACAGAAAACGTGAGTTATAGAAATTGGGGATTAGGGTTTGTGAAATTTGAAAGAACAAGTGGGTATTGAGGGCTAAATTCGATGTTTTTTTTTAAAAAATATTTACCATATAGGGTAGTATTAAAGGGATTCGGTGGATTTATTTTGGGGATTTACATCCATTAGGGTTTCGGTTTTGTTTTAGATCTGAGAGGAAGTCTGAATTGTTGCCGAAAAATACAAGCGGTCTCATCGGTTTTAACATCGAAGGTGTAAGGACATCGTTCGGGGTTATTTCATCGACCAAGATGTGGAGGGGCTAGAAATTGTTATATTTGGATTTTGCATTGATTTATTTATAGTTTAAGTTTGTGAAATGGATTTTTTAAAATGTTGAGATGGGCTTCTTTTTTTAATGGTGGAGTAGGCTAGGGTTCGGATTCATTCTCGATTCATGCGTTATTTTCTTGTCTGTTTATATACTTTGTGTTCTTCACTTGTTTGTTTGTTTGTATATTTAGTGTTCTTCACTTTCTTACAACGTTCATGACTAACTTGTAGTCCTGGGAGGGGACATTTTAGCTTGAAATTAGTTAACCATTGTTAATTTGTTGATAATTCCAGAATAGTTTGTTAGTTTTTAATTGTTTTCTTTCATAGAGTGACACACTTTTTGATATCTTTTCAGGTGAAGGGTCTAACCTTGTAACTGTCAATTGTTTCATAGTGGGGGGTTTGTGACCAACAGGAAAGGTAAACTGACATATTTAAAGGTAGAGGTTGATTACTTTGATGAGTGACAACTGACCAGCTTTGTTTGGAAGAGTGTTACTCATTTCTGGAACGTATAGGGTTCTGTAGTCCTCATAAGCTGTTTTTTAGAGACCCTATTGTAGTTGAATATTCTGGTTTTAGGAGATTAAACACTAATGAAGACCTTAAATATATGCTTGGTTTACTACCTGGTGAAATGAAGTCTCTTGTGGTCATCTATAGGATAGGGAAACTTGAGTATGATCCATTATCTGGAGGGGCTAAACCTAAACTGAGAAAGCCTGCGTATTTAGATGAAGGTGATGATGATACTGATGATGAAGACTATGAACCTAAAAGTGATTACAGTTGTGATTCTAATGATGAAAGGGTTCAGAAGTTAGCCAATCACTCAATGAGTGGTTCTTGTTGGGGAACTTTGAAGAAAATTGAATTTGTGCGCCATGCAAATCATGATGGCTGTGATGTGTGGCCTCTGAATCTGACAATGCTTCCTGTGAAGAACTTCATGAAAGGGGTTGTTTGGATGATGAGGGCTTTCATGAAGAAGTGAAGAAATATAGAGGGTTTAATCATGCGAAAGAGATGGCCAGCCCAACATTTGATATTAACCAAAGATTTGGACTAAGTGAATACTTTTGAAGGCCATCAGATTGCATGCTCTTGTTGATAGAAGGGCTATTAGGTTTCAGAAGAATGCTAAAGTGGAAGTGAGGGTTTTTTGTGTACCTGGCTGCAACTGGGAAGTTTATGGAGTGAAGTTGCCAGATGTAGACACATTTGAGGTAAGGACTGTGAATAACAAACACACTTGTGGTAGGATATGGGAGAAAAACAAGAATTGCAACTCCAACATAGTTTCTGATTGGTTTGTTGCTGACTTTGCAAATGACCCTTCGAGCACTGTGCAATTTAGGGTTCTTAATGAGAAGAGAATTACCATATCTAGGACTCAAACATATAGGGCCAAGCTAAAGGCATTGGAGAAGGTAAGAGGGAAAATTGAGCAGTATGCCCAGTTGGAAGGTTATATTAAAGCAACGAAGAAGGCTAATCCTGAGACGACGTTTGAATTGATGATTGATCCTGCGAAACCAAATACATTTAAGAGGTTGTATTTGTGCTATGAGGCATGCAAGAGAGGTTTCAAAGAAGGGTGTAGGAACATTATTGGTCTTGATGGAACATTTCTGAAAATAGTTGTGGGGGGCATTTTACTCTCAGCTGTTGGATTCGATGCAAACAACAACATGTTTCCAGTTGCTTATGCGGTTGCCAACACTCCTAAATGGGTAATCATGTCTGACAGGCAGAAGGTAAATTTTCCTTTTTTTTTCCCCCTTATTTACAGTTTTAAATTTTGGTTTTTTATCTTTTAATACGTATACAAATTCCAACTTTGAAATCCTGATTGCATTGTTATTATATTGTTTTTTGCAGGGTTTGATACTAGCTGTGAAATCAAAACTAGATACAGTTTCACACAGATTTTGTGTGCATCACTTGTGGTCGAATTTCAAGAGGCATCATCCGGGCCTTGTCTTGAAACAGAAACTTTTGAAAATAGCAAAATCAAGTTATGTGGAAGAGCATGATGAGCTTATGGCTGCTTTGAAAGAGTTTGATGAAGGTGCATGGGCATGGCTACAAAATGAGGATGTTGTTCATTGGTGCAGGTCGCATTTCCCTACAGCAACTAGGTGTGACTGCGATACTAACAATGTGAGTGAGGGTTTCAATAGAGCAATATTGCCTGGCAGGGAATATCCCATTATTGGAATGCTTGAGGGGCTTCGTGTATACCTAACTTCAAGGGCACAACAAAAAAAGGAGTGGCTGGCACGAAATAATTGTATTCTAGGTCTAAAGATAAAGAAAAGGTTGCAGGATGATGCTGAATAAGCTGCTAAATGTAAAGTGATCCATTGTGGTGGTCCGCTGTTTGAAGTGAGGACTATTGGTAGCTGTGACCAGTTTGCGGTAAACCTTAAGGAGAAGACATGTGCTTGTAGGAAATGGCAGTTGAATAGATTGCCATGCTCTCACGGCATAGCTGCCATAGTAGAGAATAGAGATAAGGTTGAAAGCTATGTGGATAAGTGTTACTCAAAGGAGATGTATGAGAAGGCATATGCATATGTCATTGTCCCTGTAAATGGCCCAAAATTTTGGCCAAAATCTGATGGTCCAACTTTGCAGCCCCCTGAATTCAAAATCAAAATTGGCGGGCCAAAAGGGAGTACGAATAAGGACAAGGATGAGCCATTAAAAAGAAACAAGAAAGGATCATTGAAGGCAAGTAGAAAGAGGGGTAAAGGGGTAAACAAATGTAGTTTCTGTAGAGGTGAACATATTAAGAGACATTGCCCAGGGTTTAAGGCACAAAAAAATGGAGAAGATAATCAGGTATGAAGTTTCATTCTGCTTGGTATTTTGTTACATGTGAGTTTCTTGAATTTTTATACACTACTGATATTGGTGCCATTTCAATGAACCAGGGAGAAAGGGTAGTGCAAAACACCAATCGACCTGTACGAAAAAGGATGGGCAGACCACCCAAAAAGAAGCCTCAGGATGCAGGTGAAGGCACAAGTAACCCAGTATAGTCTTCAACTCAGTCACAACCCAAGAAGAGGGGCAGAAAACCCAAAAAATATGGTGGTGAAGTGCCTGTTAACCAAAGTTTATTGCAATGTGACTATTGCAAATTACTGAACCACACTGTTACGGACTGTCCAGTACTTGAGGCTAAAAAATTCTTGACAGTCCCTGAAAATTTACGTGAGGTAAAGTTTAGATTACTGTTTACTCAAATGTTCATTTTTTTTTTTTGTCAAAGTATAAATATCTATTACTCGATGCAAACCCTTGCAGGTTTTTAATACCCCTGGTGCACCTCCTGCAACTCAACCTAGTGGATATTCATCCCCTGAAGATGGTTATATGCACGAAGGATGCGACTTCTGCAGAAGCAATGACTATGGAGAAGACAATTGTCCTAGGCTTGATATCCACTGTGATTATTGCAACTATTTTGGACATTATAGAAATGAATGCTATGAATTAGAGGTAAGTTAGGTAGTGTATATAACCAGTTTATGCAGGAATGATTTTTCTGATTTTGTAGTTTGCATATCTTTACAATACCCTTCTTTATGTTTCAGAGGGATCTGGATGCTGGTGTTGATGTGAATGCCCATGCTGCAAATGCTGTTGCTGAGGAACAATCACCTCTAAAGAATCCTTCTAAAACTGGAGTTCCTATTCATGAGCAAGAGATGCTGGTGTTGATGTGAATGCCCATGCTGCAAATGCTGCTGCTGAGGAACAAGCACCTCTAAATGAGAATCCTCCTGAAACTGGAGTTCCTATTTATCAGCAAGAATCACAACCAGCTGCAACTGAGAATCCTCTTGAAACTGGAGCTCCTGTTCATCAACCAGAATCACAACCACTTGCAACTGAGAATCCTCCGGAAACTGGAGTTCCTGTTCATCAGCCAGAATCACAACAACCTGTATATTCTATTGTAGATGAGGATTCTATACATGAGACTGAACCAAAACATACTGGAAATGCTGGTCAGGAAGTTGATGATGAGGTTAGTTTCTGTTTTGGCTCCAAATAGACTGTATTTGATAATTAGGTTCTGTAAGTTACATTTTGGTTCCTATTTGTGTTTGAAAGTAACAAGGAATAGTGTATTATATTTTTCGTAGGTGACTTTGGATATACACTTCGAAGAAGAGATAGTGTATAGAGTGGGAAAGGTTGCTGCACCATTGAAAGATCCAAGGTCAGGAATTATAAGGCCCAAAGTGAGTGCACCTGCCCACAAAAAACGCACAAGAATTTGTACTTCTTCAGCCCCTACAACCCCAAGGAGAGCTAGTGCAAGGCTTATGAATCTAGCACTTGCGAAAAAGATGGACGTTGATGGACCTGGGAGTACATCTGAAAATGACATTCAAATATTAACTGAAGAAGAAGCAAGCACCTTCTTGCGTAAGAAGCCAAAGACATTCCATGGTGTAGATCCTCACCAAGGATGATTAAGTTTTTATTATGTAACTTTGATTTAGTTTCGATATGGTTGTATGCCGAAGTTATTCTTAAATTTATATTTTGGACTCCTTCAGATAGACATAGTCTGATGGTGTGGTATGCTATTGATGGTTTTTGTATTTTGGAAGGCACTATGATATTTTGTTACAAACTTAAGATAAATTTATGCAGATGGTTCGGTAACCATCAATTTTGTTTCTTTTTGCGGAACTGAGATTTATGTCTTCGCATCTTTTTTCACCAATTTTGAAGAATTGGTGCTTGTTGCGGGATGTAATCGCAGTCGGGGTGGCCAAACTCGAATTTAGGGTTTGTTATTGGACCCGATACACATTGGGGAAGAAGAAAAAGGTTCTGTCAAGTTGAATTTTTTTTGGTATTTAATAGGTTAAAATTTTAAATGGGTTGGACTTAATTAGTTGATGGCCCGTTGATGTTTTAATTTTTTTTGGACCTCGAATAGTTGATGGTCCGTTATTTATTGGGCATAAAATATTAGTCGTCGCCAGCATCAGAACAACATATATTCCAGTCCCCGACTGACGAATATCCCGACGATAATACCGGATTATGACCGAAATATTCACCGGCCAGCGGTGGATCAGCGGTGGCCCGGCTTTTGACCGGCGTTGACTCACGGTGGTTCGGTGGTGGTTCACGGTGGCGCCGCTCATTGTTGCCATCCGTTGAAGCGGCGGTTCAAGGTGGCAAATTCAACTTTTTTTTTTTTTAATTTTGAATTTGCGGCTTCTAATTTTGGGCGACAACCACGTGACTCGCACGTGCGTGGGAAGTATGGTTTATTTTTTTAATTTGTCGATTATACCCTTGGTCCACTCCACCGTCCACCACCGCTGACCACTACCCTTTTCCTCAGAAAACAAACGGAGAATCGAAAAAAAATAAAAGTTTACTATTTAGTACCAAAAAGCAACGTTTTTTTTTAGTTCCGAGTGAATATAGATGACATCTTTTTAGTACTTTTGGAGTAATTAATTCTTTTGAAAATATAGATCTTAATAATGTTCATTAAATAAAAGGTACGATTGTCACAAAAATCATACTTAATGAGTATAAACATTAATACGCCCTTGAGGGGAATTTTTAAATTTCACACCCTCATCAAGAAATTTAAAATTTGTAGTGCCCTTCATAAGAATTAACAATAATGAAAAGCTAACTACATGTTCAAAAAGTATTTTTAGTTATCATGTCACAAGTTGGAAGGTCCTTCGTGGACAAGATTTATCCAGTAAAGCTTCATACATGCCAAAACTTATATCCAGTAGGCCATAATTTGATAATTTTGGGAGTGCTAAAACTCACATTTCACATCCTAAATATTTATAGAAATAGAGGATTCTATGCCAAGCTACTACGCAACTACTTGTATTATTCAAGATTCCCTACTCCGTGTTCTGGAACGCGAGAGATGAAGGGAGTTGGTTTACCTGAACAACATCCACCAAAAAATCATCTCAGTCCAATTTCTCATCCAGTAAGCAGTTGAGAGGGGGCGAATGGGAAAGAATATACATTTTAAAAAAGGAAAGAGCGCCACCTCCAGTAACAATTTTTTGGTCTAAACAACAACATCTCAGGATCCACTTCAAGAAGAAAAAACTATAAATTCTGAAAAGGTCGTCAACTTTCAACAGCATACACCAATCATGAACTAAGCATATCTTCAATAACGAATCATCTTATGAACAACAATCACTTAATGCAGCTCCAAACTACATGCTTCTTAGACTCAATTACTAGGACTTCAGAAGATACAAAAATGCAATTATTACTACACAAAAATGCAAACACAGAGAAGCTCTTAAATCTACAAATTTGAAAGAGACTCTCAACATAAAATAGTAACCTAATCAAAATACCTTCAAGATTTCCCTATCTCTCTGCATCATTATATTCCTCGGTGCTACAAGCTAAAAGCCAAATAAAAGGAAATTTGCCTACCTTGTGAGGGCCTCTAATTATTCCAGTCCAGCATAAGAGAATGACATGAGAAAACGCCACAGATTCCACTAATTTAATAAAGTTCAACAAGAGTAGCCATATATGATCTTCATAATCAAATCAGCGAATCTAAGAAATAGCAACAGTGAAAATTGCCCTACAGAAAACAAAAAACCTTGTGCTGATCTTTTTTATTAAGGCAAATGCCAGGATCTTCCTAAAAATAAAAAACCAGTTATGAAAAAAAAATGTCTACAACTTACGGAATTTGCCAATTCAAAGTAAAAGAAAAAATTTGCTCGAAGCATAGAAGCTTAACTCCTAAAAAGGATGACTTTGGCCAAGAAAATGGAAAAATTACTTATATGTATCTAATAAAATTACTGAAGAAGGAAATAGTTTTAGGGTTTCAATTTTCTCCAAAACTAATTTTTTCACGCTTCAAAAAAGCGAAAATTGACAAAATCGCATTTTCAAAACGCTAAGACAAGATTTTCGCGTTTCAGAAACGCTAAAAATAGGTTATATTAATTAATTTAACTTAATCGTAAGTAATTAATGGTAAAATTTTTGATTAAATAAAGTTTTGCATTTTCAAAGCGCGAAAAAAAGGATTATTTTTCGCGTTTTCAAAGCGCGAAAACAATAAAAGACAATATTTTATTTAAATAAAAAAAGGAAATTGTCATAAAAAATTCAATTAATTTGCATAGTTTAAAAAATTGTAGGCAAATTTACTTCGAAAAATTATTAAATTTTAATAATGAAATTAAAGGAAAATTTTAAAATTATAATTCATAATCATTAAATTTTGAATAGAGCTATAAAGAAGAAAATTAATAATAGAAAAATTATATTGATAATTTTAATAATAGGAAAATTAAATTTTGATATGAATATAAAAATATGATTGATACTCATTAAATTAAATAGAGCTATACTAAATATAAATTATTAAAATTATGAAATAATTATTATAATTTATAAAATTTTTTAAAAATTATATTAAAAAATTAATTATTATTTATAAAATAATTTGATATGAAAAATATTCAGTAATGATAAATGACGTAATTTTATGGATTTATATTAATTAGATGTAATTTAATTTATAAATTGTTTATACTAATTATGACGGTTTCAATATAAGAAAAAAGCTTAAAATATGAATAAATTTTAAGAAATATTTATTATAATTTACCAACACTTAAGATGAAGCAAGTATTTTCTGTTCTTCGGAAACCTCACAGGGGAGACAGCAAAAATGTCGAAGCAAGGACGCCGAGGATCGGCGGGTAACAAGTTCAGGATGTCTCTAGGTCTTCCAGTGGCTGCGACGGTGAATTGCACCGACAGCACTGGGGTAAAGAACCTCTACATCATTTCAGTGAAGGGAATGAAGTGTAGGCTCAATCGTCTTCCTACTGCTTCCGTCGGTGACATGGTTATGGCCACCGTCAAGAAGGGTAAGCCCGATCTCAAGAAGAAGGTCATGCCTGCAGTCATTGTCCGCCAGCGCAAGCCATGGCTCCGAAAGGACGGTGTCTACATGTACTTTGAAGATAATGCTGGAGTGATTGTTAATCCCAAGGCAAAAATGAAAGATTCTGCAATCAGTGGTCCCATTGGAAAGGAGTGTGATGATCTTTGGCCTAGGATTGCAAGTGCTATCAATGCGATTGTTTAATGCACCGCATCTTAATTTTGAAGAGAACTTTAGTTTACTGAATGTTTGTTTTAGGTATCTGGTACTATTCTTTTGTGGATGTGGTAATTTTAATAGACGGTTGGTATGTAAGAGCTAAGAATTATATCTTTTGTTTGGATAAACTAAATACTTTGCTGTTTGTTTTTTTTAAAAAAAAAAAAGATGAAGCAACTATTAATTATTAAAAAAATATAAGAAAGTTTGAAGATGTGTTTAGATTTGATCGGCGAAGATGTGTTTTATAAATATTAATTATTGTATTTACGATGCAGGTGAATTCAAACTATTAAGAATATTAATACAAGTCATAAAAAAATACTACAAGTCATAACAAAAGGGAAAAAAATAAAACAAGTCATAACAAAAGGAAAAAAAACATAAATGAACAAAAGGAAAAAAAATACAAGTCTAATAATACTACATAAAAGTCTAGTACCCTACTTCTTCTTGGGCTTTTTAGCCCGAAAATGGCTATAAGTCAATCTATCGGGCTCCTTCGTCACTCTCTGGCCTTTACTCACAGCCAACGGTGGAGTCCTAGAGTCTGACTCGATCCCTGCTCCTCATGGCGCTGATAACCCTGGCCCTCAAACTGATCATTCTGGCCTGCATCCTCAGCCTCATCCCCAGCCTCATCTTCACACCTTGACTCTCACGCTCACCTCCAGCTAGGTCATCAGCCTGACGCTGACTCGCAACACCCTCGAACATACTCGAAAGAAAGTTACTCATATAATGTATCGACTGGCCATCTAGCGAACTCTGCTGGAACTCAGAAAAGTCAATAAAAGCATCTCCAAACTGAGACTGAGAAGTCTGAGGGGAGGAAAACTGAGTGAAGGCAAAATGGGACTGCTGGTACTGGGGAGACATAATGGGACGGTAAAATGCCTGTTGGGTCAGCGAAGAATGATGTAGAGACTGATGTGGAGACTGATGGGATGAATGATGTGGAGACTGATGGGATGAATGTTGTAGAGAATGGTGTGGAGACTGATGGGATGAACCGTCAATGAAGGGGATATGAGACTGCTGATGCTGGGAGGACTGATGTGGCTGAGTGGGCGTGATTGTCCCTTGCCCCCCACGCCCACGCTGAGACCTACGCGAACGCCTCGAAGGTCTGGGAGGTGGATGTTGCTGGGTCGGGTCTACATGTGCAAGTTCTTGACTCAAAATGTCATTAAACTCAACATGACTATCGAGATCGTGACGAACAACATCCGTTGCATTGATGGACAATGCCCGCTCAGCAACCTGGGCAATCTCGCCTAAGCGATCATAACCAAAGGAGTCTGCGTCGAAAGTACACTG